TATTTTATTATTTATAATAAAAATTAAATAAGTATTGATAATTTGAGCAAAACTGAACGATGCCAGCCAAATCCAGTTGGTCTTATTGCTTAGGTTCTCCTAGCTGATAAGTACAGGAACTCCAATCCCAGGCTGTTACAGAAGTTGAATCCCCTGCTATGATTTTATTTGCTGTGATATTAGGATTATTACTGAATTATTCTGTGCCTCAGTTTCCTAATCTATAGTATGTGGATGTTATAGAGCATTTCTCAATGGGTAGTTATGTCGAATGAGCAATTTGATATATGTAAAGTTCTTACAACTTTTCTTGGGGCAGTACAAGAAATATATAAGGTTAGCTGTTGTATGTAAGAGTTTTAATGAGTTTTATATTATCAAGGATCTGTAGATAGAGTTGGCTTGAAAAGTAAGGATTTAAAATCTCTGAAAGAGTTCTCAGGAGATCAGAAAGTTTTCATTAACCTTCTTCAACTTGCCTCTTGGCTGTCTTCTTTAATATAAAAAATGTCCCATATATGTTTCTTGTTAAAGAGGATTCAGGATATTGCCCCAAACAGCAGGGAAAGAACAGGTTTAGAAGAACACTTAAGCAGACTTTTAAAGTTCTTCCCTGAGTTCCTTCTCCTGCTGTTCATAGGACTATAGAAGAGTCCTATGGTGTAGAAGAAAAAAAGAAGCTATGAAGCTACACTTTCTTCTCCAGCAGAGAAACATCATGAGAACAGTAACTCTCCTCGGCCAACATAATTGTCCATAGGTTTTGTGAACTGTATAAAGTTGATGACCATTCTTGCCCTATCACAGAGAAGACTACACACCTACTCCTTTCTATTTCTCTCCATGTCCACTAATGAGGTCCAGGTTGAAGAGCTAGTTAATTTGACCATGACCATCCATCTGAAGTATTTTATACTAAGGGGTACATAGCCTTGCCGGGGGCTATGTGGCCAGGCTTACAGAGTGTGCTGGCCAGAGATAGTATATATATATATATTTTTTTAAGAGAGAGTGAGAGAGATAGAGGTAGAGAGAGAGAGAGAATTTTTTAATATTTATTTTTTAGTATTTGGTGGACACAACATCTTTGTATGTGGTGCTGAGGATTGAACCCGGGCCGCACACATGCCAGGCGAGCGCGCTACCGCTTGAGCCACATCCCCAGCCCAGAGATAGTATATTTGAACTGATATGTTTCAAAGCCATCATCCCCTTCTGGACTCCATTATAATTTGCATATGCTCCATGTGCTCAATCTTACACTTGTTTATTCTCTATAAAAGAATTGTAAGCTTTAAGGAAATGTATTTTAAGATCTGAAACTCTCTAAAACTGATCTGCTTGAGACATTCCATAAGATTAGTTTTGAATTCTGCCTCTCCCTTCTAACAATTCCCACATTACAAAATGTCCAAGAAACAATATTCCTTGAATTTTTTTGTCAACTCCATCATCTGCCTATTATGTACAGTGTCACTTTTTTTGTATTCATTTTAGTTATACATGACACTAGAGCCAATTTTGACATATTTATACAAATATGGAGTATATCTTATTTTAAGTAGGATCCTAGTCTTGTGAATATACGTCACTCTTTTGGGAGAGTCCTACAAAAGTAAGGCAGAGAAGTACCAAAGACAATGGTAGGGCACATTATTGCATCAGTTCATTGCAAAGCCAGTGAATTCTCTGTCATCAAATTAGAACTCAGATATCAGAGATGTTGTCTTACTGAGGATGGATTTAACACATTAATATAAACAGTATTCTGATTTCCCCAATATTACTGAGTGCTTTGGGTTAAACAAGGTTCTCCAGGTGAATGAATATCTTATGTTTTATAGTTATTTAATAAGACCTGGAAAGGTGTTATGAGTATACTTTTCAGATTTTAAGAAATTGAGTGAATATAATACTAGGTTCCAAACCTGTTTACATATCAGGTATTTTCCAATTCATCTCTTTAAAAAAGAAATTGAAAGAGGAACTAATGGAGTTGTCAGCACTGAGATTATTAAAATAATTTTTGAAATTATATTCCTATGTGATTTTTTGGTATATATCTTGGGAGGTATCCAAAGAATTGAGTGTCATTGTTACACAAAATATTAATTTCCATGTCTGTGCTTATGTGAAGAGGTTTCTCTAAAAGCAAAAAGAGAAATAGAATTGTTCCTAAACTCCATCTCATTCTAGCAGTATGTGGCATTTTTATTAATGATATAAAAAGACTTATCAATGTAATTAAGAGCTATATTTACAGGAAAAATTAACTTTTATATGTCTGATTATTACTTAAAATGTGCAATATATTTTTGTTGCTTTATCTATTTTATGTTTGTAATCATAACTCATTTTAAAAGCAAATATTATAAATTGGAAGTTTATAGTCATAGGATATAAAAGAAATTTAGATTTCAATCTCTATATTTTTTGTTGCAAATCAATATGATATGTGATCAATAAAATATTTTCAAGTATAAAATATATTCTGCAGGGAACATATAATGGAAATATAATTTTTTTAAGTTTAAAAGAAAATAATGCACATTTTATGACTTTTAAAGAAGAGCTTTTAGATGTATTTTGAAAGTGGATAATCATGAGTGTCAATCACTGTGGTGTTTAAATTTCATTGAACACACAGATGTTCACACATGCACAAGGAATTCTGTGACTTTTTACATTTTAAAATGAACATATTCTCTACTGGCCAAGAAATAAATCCTTTGAAACTACAATTTAAATAAATTTTATGCCAATTTACACATGTGCAAAGGGTTACGCAGCTAACCAAAATAAAAATTTTAAAAATATTTGCACATGGGATATGTATGGTACCTGAGACTGGCAGGTAACCCCCTTCACTGTGTCCCAATTTTTCATCCACTTTAACACTTGCCCATTCCTGGAATTCTACTATTAGAACTTCATTCTTTTGGAGGAGGTATTGAAACAGGGATTTGGTCTTTATGAAAATATAACCATCTTTATGAAACCTTATACATTAGTCTCTATTAATCATTGAAAACTGAGAAGGAATAATTTTATTATTCTTTTTTCTTCTAAGAAATTATTTTGAAAGTGAGGAGCAAGGAAGTTCCATTAGGATTTCAGTTTTCATAAGGAAAATGGACGATTGATAAAGAATAAATAAAACTGAGCACAAAAATACACTAGGGCCCCAGGATATGGAGGTATACCTATACCAGTGATGTACCCGTGAGGGTAGGAAAGAATCATTCAATGGCACCTTAATTATCAGGTTACAATAATGAATGCAACTGGACCTCCAAAACTCACCTCACTGATCTGAGACTTACCTGGAAATGATTCAGAATTAGATCTGTAATTAGAGTTTCAATAGGAATATAAGCACATGAATGTACTTCGGGTGAAAAGCAAGCCAACACAAGCTTTATACATGTGAATAGATGTCTATGAGAAGATGTCCATGAAACAAGAACTTAAGAGCACTGCAAGTTGATGAGGAAGAAAAGACTAGCTTGATTTTTTTGTGATCTTTGTATTATACACATATACACTTTATGTTGATCACATGTTTAAACATTCTTTTTATTTGTTTTTATGCTTTTATAGCATGGAAAAATAGGAAAAGGATTTAGTAAAGAACGTTTTTTCCTTACCACAGAATGAAGGCACCACCCCTATGAAAACCACTCCATCCCTACTTCACAGTCACTGGTACCTGCAGAGTGACAGGTGGGCTGGGATGAAGAAAACATTGGTAATTGGAGGCTAGCATTATTTTTACCTCTTCTACCAGTGAGGGAGAGGACCTTTCTTGACCCCTTCAAAAAAAAGATGTCTTTTTGGTTCTCCAAGACCCTGGGTCATTCAGGCAATGTCAGGTTGGTCTCTTTGTCAATGTCTGTTCTTTGGTATTCTCCTATCTCTGAACCTTATCTGAAGGATCTCTGTTGCATGTTGAGTGATAGATCAGATATAGAGAGTCAAGGCCTTTTCCCTGGAGTTCCCAGGTTCCTTTCTGTGCTAGGTCATTATTGCTGCTATTTGTCATTGCATATGCCTGTACACAGCCATGGGTAGCAAGTAAGCACACCAGGGTCCTTCGGAGCATACTCACTTTTATAAAGGAGTCCATTTTCTCCTGTTTCTATTTTCATGTTCAAACTCCTATGGTTCATCTGCAAATGTTCTTCCCCACCTGCAGGTACATTTATTTCTGCATGAGGGTTGATAGCCTGAAGGTCATACATATCAACAATCAAATTCCATTTGCATATATAGCCTGGGCCAAGTAGGTGAGGTTGACTCTCCACTTTGAAAATAACATTGTTTTCATTCTCAACTGGGCAGGGGGAAAAGTACATAAAGGAAGGGGTGTGCTGTTGATAGTTTCCTTGTTCCCTGCCCTAAAATCTTGAGGCAGTGATGACTTTCTCAAAAAATGTTGGCTTTCCAAGGTGAATTTTACAATCCCTATAATAAACTGTAGTTCACAGGCTTTGGGCAGCTTAGGGGTACAAGGAGATTATCAACACCTGGAAGGTCTGGAGGTAAATAAGTTCAAGTTTTGATTAACTAAAAGTTAAGTATTTGCTTTGTGGATTATCTGTGACCTATTTGAAATACTGATCCACTTTTGCACCCCTGTGCCTCTGGGCCATTTCTCCCACAAGATGGTAAATGTGCTCAAGAAATATAAACTAATTTTCATATAAGCCTAAGGGGAAAATAAGAGGGAAACCAAATGCACAATGAAGATATTCACATAATATGTTCCTACATCAAATAGAAATGATTTTGCATCATCAGTTCTTCAGAATGATTCAAACCTCTCTTACCTTATATTTAGGACTTTTCATAAATAATTGATTGTTTCCTTGTAGCACTGTTATGTAGATTCATTTACTTCTTGAGATACACTACTATATTGATAATATAATTTCTTATCATCTCTCTCTTTCTCCTTTCTTCCTCTCTCTTTCCCCATCCTATCCCCATGTCACTCACAGGTGTACCATAGATGATCGGGTCACTCGGGTGGCCTGGCTAAACCGCAGCACAATACTCTATGCTGGCAATGACAAGTGGTCCATAGACCCTCGTGTGATCATCTTAGTCAACACACCGACCCAATATAGCATCATGATCCAAAACGTGGATGTGTATGATGAAGGTCCGTATACCTGCTCTGTTCAGACAGACAATCATCCCAAAACTTCCCGGGTCCACCTCATAGTGCAAGGTAAGTCACACCTGGACCAAGGGCCGACATTCTGTTCAGTGATGGAGGGGAAGAGGGATCTTAGTGTTTGTTCTGTAATGTTAAAAGGCACAAAAGTTTACTTCGTTAAATACATAGACTGAGAACTGAATATCTTTTGAAAGTTTTTTTTAAAAAATATTTTGTCTCTAGTCCTTCTGTTCTCAATAGTAAATTGTTTTGCCTGTACCAGTTAAACCTCTTAAGTAACTTAGCATGCTAGAGATGGGGAATGATATATTCAATGATATATGAATGCAGTAGCACTCAAGACACTTTTTTATTGCCTTTCTGAGTATTGTTTTATAATAAAAGGCTAATGTTGATGTGAAATCATGTGACTTTATTTTTGCATAGCTGCTGGTTGTGCATATTCTGAGTTGGACTCTCATGCTGGTCAAAAAGTTCCTGTCTGGCATTGCTTCTATGTTTAAACTCTTTCATTTCTACAATGGAGCCTAGAGCCAAGAGGGGCATTAGTCAAATATCTCCATGTCAATGTTGGAAGCAAATACATATAATTAAAAAGATATAGGACAGGGGTAGAATGGCTTAGCTCGTCCTCTTTTTTAAATTGATTTTTTAAAAAAAATTACAGCAGAATGCATTACAATTCTTATTACACATATAAAGTACAATTTTCATACCTCTGGTTGTATATAAAGTATGTTGACACCAATTTGTGTCTTCATACATGTACTTTGGATAATGATGTCTATCATATTCCACCATCCTTGCTAGTCCTCTGCCCCTTCTCTCTTTCTCTCCCACCCCTCTGCCAGAGGGAGCATAGGTGGAATAGATGAATTCTCGTTCTCTCTTTAATTAATAATTAGTATAGATCAGGCACAGTATCATGTTTGCTTTTTAAAATAGTTTTAAATTTAAGTTACTCTTTGTAGCATAAAAACACAGAATTAAAGAAATGTCATAATCTCAGATATTAGGTACTAAATATTAAGAATTAAAAATTCATTCAGGTAGAATTTGTGAGAATTTGAGAACCCTTTGGAGGCAAGGCAGCAATCAAAATGAACTTATTTTGGACTGATCCAATTGCCATCACTGTGCAAAACATTTTCTGAGATACTGTCTCATGGTAGGGATTAAGTTCCAAGCAGACAAATTCCATCATCTAGAGGGACATCTCTTCTCCACCAAAGGAGAGGTTTAGATGGACATTTCTCAGAGCATCCTTGGTTGACATCTTTGGGACATACACTAAGCTCTTAAGATCTCCTTTTGTAATTTAGTTTTTAGCAACTTCCTTTTATAATATCACATCTGCCAACGAGTCAACAGTTTTTTTTTCTTTAAGATTATGAGAGTGTACCACATCTTTGCTTAAAAGATGTCCTCATCTCTGCTTTTTTAAAATATGCTATTCATTTCAGTTGATTTCATGGTAAGTGATTGATTAGGTATTAGTATCTATTCACATTCAGTCACTTCCACAATTCAGAATGTCCATTTTTTTTTCTTTGAACAGAGCAACTCTTTGCTAGCATAGCATCCAGGTTTGCCTCTGTGGGCCATTTGTAATGGATGTGTTGGACCAGGGATTCGTTTGCTGCAACTTCTGTTCCCCAGCAGTCCCTGGGGCAGCCATATTGCTTGAAGCATGGCGTCCATCCATCCTATGAGTCCTTCTCTCACTCCCACATGCTTTCAGATACAGACACTGCCATATGACAGATACCTCTAGGTGCTTCTTGTGCTCATTCTCCATACATGTCCCATCCAACGGAATAGCTGGGCAATGATCACTTTTTGGAGCTACAAGACTGCCTACTATCTGGAGATAAAGACAACAGTCACATCTGATACATCTCAAAGGATGGGGGAGGCACTTGGTGGGATAGTTGTAAGAGATGAACTGGAATGTCTGCAGAAAGTTTCTGAGAATGTAGAAAATGGGGGAGTTCTAGCTATTCCACCTACCACCTGGGCTTGGTTCCAGAGGAGCTGAGATTCTCACCATTGGAAATGACATGTCAGTGGCACTTCTGTGGCCTGGACAACAAAGTCATCTTCACATTCAGGAAATGTGGCACTGAAATAAAAAATAACTGTCAGGCACTGTGCAGAAACAGACTCAAATAGAACAAAGCTATTGGTTTCCAAGGAATGAGACAGACTGTGTAAGCACATCAAAGTCAATACAGGCCATGAAGAGTTTGTGATGCTGGGCTTTGGGGGATGATGTTCTTTATAATGCACTTTGAGCAGTTCTTTGGACAGGAATGAGGAAGCCTATGGTATCTCTCTGGAGGCCTCCCAGCCTCTGGTCAGAAACAGTGTGAGGATGGAGGAGATTCAGGGCAGCAGCTTCTTCTAGCCCAAAGGTCAGCTCCTCACAGTCTTCACATTTCAGATTCAGCCCTCCTTGACTCTGGCTATTTGAGGCAGCCTATGAATCCCAAATGCAAACATCGGGGTGAGTAGAGGTGGAAGGGGAGGCTCTGCTCTTGGAACACTAGACAGATAGGTCTTTCTCTTTTCAAAGAGGCAACACCGAAGGAAATTGGGAGCTGTGCTCCCTTCTCTCTTGGTAGCAATGTGACAATGTGTTCTCACTTTAGAAACCAGTTGAATTACTGAAATGGATGTAGAGACCCCACTGCTCAATGAGAAAGAAGCCCAAGCATTCTCCTTCCTCCCAGGAGTTATCAGCTTTTGTCCAGTCTATAGATTAATTTTTTAGACTTAGTGTTAGTTCAGGTTAGATAAAGATAATGAAAGTTTCCTAATCCTCTTAAAGAAGATTTATCTGACTGAGTAGAAAGCTTTTGGAATACAATAAGGTGTGTATAAAACTGAGGCCTAATCTTGCCTTTAATTTCAAACTGCTGATGGATATTGATTTTGCAATGAGAAAAACTGAAAAATTTCCGAGCTGCAACTTGTCTGTTTTTTAAAAAAATGTTTATTTATCTTCTGTCCATTTGAGAATGTTAATATCTTACAACTTCTGCCAACTAGGTGCCATTAGCATGAGGAGATGATTCCCACAGGACTCCCAGCTTTATTTTCTTTTTCCTTCTATGTAAGGAACTGAGAGATACTCTGTGGCTAACCTCAGTGCCTGTCCTTTACTGTATAAAGCATCCTTTGCCACATATCTGATGAATTGATTTCTAAGTCCATCTCCTTGCAAGAAGCTGTCTTCATTAAAATCTGATCACTGACACCTGAGTTAATTTTGCCACTGAAAGGATCATTTCAAGTCACCATGTGAGCATGTGTGGTAATGTGATTAGAATGCATACATAGGTGTTAAGGAAACCCAGAATAAGGGGACTGCCACTGTGATCAGGTCATTCAGGGTAGGAAAATCCACCTGGCATTTGTCTGGAATAAGCTGGAGGAACAAGGAGAGGCTACAGGTTGCTCCCACCATCTAAATGCTGTGATGAGAGTGGACTGTGAGTCCACCTGTAGAAATAGAGAAGTGATGAAGAGATATTATCCCAAGAAAATGGAGAACATTAATCTCAATGCCTTTAAAGAAGAAGGATTAAATGATATCACCCATATTTTTGAGATTGGGATAATGTTGGTGGTCTTGGTAGCAACTGGGGAGGTTGGATACTGTGCACTCAGAAAGAACAGTTTTTGGCCCACTGGGTTTAGGGATAAAGAAAACACAGACATCACATTGGTACTATGGAATAAGGGCACAGGTTTAACTTAGGGGTATTTGAGATTCAACATGAATTTACTAGTTTGAAAGTAGGTAAAGTTTCTGAGATCAGCTATTTCTAGAGAACAGCAAGAATCATAATTTATCATATCTATCCCCAGGATTTAGCATGCTGTGTGAGGCAGTATAGGCACTCAGCAAATGTTTGTTTGTAAGGTCAGCAGAAGAATGGATTGATTCTGCCACTGTGATAGCACACTGGCATGGTGATCATGACACCTCTGCAAGTAGGCAGGGGTGAGGGGTGAGTCTAACATTGTCCCCATGACTTGGTGTAGACAGAAATGGGGAAAGTTCCTTGGAGGGAAGGAAGTCTCGAATGTGATGCATAAGGAGGTCTTTTATAGCAGGGATAACATGAAACCCATGCATTTATTTAGCACTTACAAAGACAGTCACAATCTCTGTCTCATTTGATCCTCACAACAAGCCCTGGGAGGTTGGAGTGTATTGAATTTTATCTCCATTTGAAAATTAGATAACCACAGCTCACAGAGGTTAGGAGACCCTCTAGGGCCCCCAGTGAGTAAGTAGCAGAGAAAGGTCTTGAACCATAGCCATATGACTCCAAGGTTAGTGTCTCTCCAGCACACACCAATGCCCTCCTCTGTCAACCATGTCCAGTTACTTCTGCTCCAGATTGATAGAAATTTCCCAGGTTTTCTGTGAATTCTTTTCTTTCTTTCTCTTTTTTCTGCTATTGACATTGCATTGTGCCAACAGAAATTAAGCACAAAGCTACAAAGTTCACAAAGGGAATTAACAATGAGGGTGGGACTCCAAACCTACCATAAATGGTATAGAGAAGCTGAGAGCAAGGAAGAAGAAGATAATTAATTTTCTAGTAGCTCAAGCCTCCAGGGATACACATTTTAAATGTTTCCACTTTATCCTGTGTAAGTACTGAAAACCCTGGCTCCTTTGAGGATCCAGAATCTAATTGTCATTCTAATCATCCTTACTTCTTCAGCCTTCTGAAACTACACAGAGATCTATGCCTGCCCGTGGTGTGTGGCTGTTGCTGGTGTTTGTTAGGGAGGGCTGGATGCAACAGGAAGGCCAAATCTATCTTTGTTCCTCTAATGTTGATATTCTCAATCTTCTCTCTTGGCTACGTTAGAAATCTATTTACTGTGAGCTCTTTTCTTTCATGGAATGGACACCTTTTATGAAGTCCAATTTTATTCAGAGGGCTAAAAATGATGCATTATTTGAATTCTCACATATAAGACTCCACAGCAAGCTTATGCACTTTCCATATATATGGAAAATATTGTCA